AAGCATTTGGAAGTGGAAGGCCTGTTAGTTTATGGGGAAAAAGGGAGGGAGCAGACGGGTACGTTTCATAACTCCTTTTCCCACACACGTGCATTATGTGGGGTCAACCTGAATTATGTCTACACTGGGAAAACTCTTCCCATTCTACCTGCAGATGTCCACAATGGGCAGGTTAAGCGAGCCGGTAGGAAAAAAGAAAATGCCAGCTGCACTAGATCTGAGCAGGGCAGGTTTTCCTCACCCTCCGTTCCCAGCTGTATTAACCTTACAGGTGGCTATTCTCCAGACCACAATGACTGGAATAATAACACAGTGATACACTTTTTAAAAAGATGGAGAAAAGAAAGGCTTGCTCACATATTCTCAAACAGAGAGAGGTGTCCTGCAATGCCATTCTGAGATAACTGGCAATTTAATCACAGCCTCTTCAGAGACATCTAACAAATTCAGTTACACCACATAGTAATTCACTCGAGACCCTTCAAAGCAAATGCAAGCTGTGCCTTACCCAAAAATAGGCACTGAACCAGATGACCAAGAAAGAATAGAAACAAGGAGAAGGAGAGAGATGAGTGGCTTGTAGGCAGCGAAATCTCCAGATTCCTGGTGGCAGTTTGCTGTTTGCGGGGACAAGTCACAGCTGCAGCAGAGAACAGGCTGCTCGATGTGATCCAGCGGTTAGACCCACTGGGGAATGAAAGTAAACTTCCTACTCTCTTCTGTCCATTGCCTTATCCAAGATACAAAGCAAGATAAGAGGAAGGGAGGCGGGGGACAGAGTCAGGCTGCAGCGTGACAAAGTATTTAAGAAAAAAAGCAAAGCAGAAAAATGGAACAACAGCGTTTGAACAAACACTTTATGCTTTAAAGTGCCTATACATTAAACAAGATTTACTGCTATTTCCTTTTCTCTCTCCGACATCTACAGCCTAATCACTCCAACAGCTGTGAAAATAAAGACTAAAACAGTACTCTTCAAACTGGAAAGCAGGCTAATGGCAGGACAAAGCCAGTGTTGCATCAAACTTTTTTTAAAAAAAAAAAAAAAAAAAAAAGAAAATTTCTCGTAGTTGGACTCCCATGAGGCAATCAGCTCATGAGCAGCAAGCCAGCTTTCTGATTTTACACCCCTCTCTTTTCAACAACAATGGCAGCAAAAGCTGTAAAAAAGTGGTTGCATGAGAAGTTGTTCTTTCTTACTCACCTTCCTTATTGTCTTACTTTTTCTCCTTCTTAAAGTCACCCTTCCCTTTCCCCCCCAAGAGATCCCTGACCTCAGTGATGCACTGGGGTACTAGACTCTGAACACAGCGACTACCAAAGTGGACACTATAAACAAACAGCATCTGCTGATTGCAGGGAAGAACACCCATGCTCTGCGCACACACCGCAAGAGCACAAACAGGCACAGTATGATTCCGGAATTTTGAAGAGCTTGCTAGGAATTTCACGGTTTGCTTACTGTCAAAATGAATCTTTTTTTTTTTTTTTTTTTTTTAACCCACTTGAGTTCCTCCATCTTCTTGAAAAAACAAACAAGCCATCATCTTAATTGTCTAAGACTTTCAGCTCCAGCTCACATCACCTAGAGCGGCAGATGCCCAGTCAGAAACCTGAGGAATCAAATTCCTCTTTAGCCAGCAGAAAAAGTGGGACTAGAAGAAACACTAGAAATGCAAGACGTGTTTGTGTGCACTCAGAAAACCAAATTGAGACAACCAAACCAGCTCTTTAAGGAACAGATGGAGCAGTTGCTCACCACTTGGGCTACTGGCCTAATAGCCAGTATTAATAAACATGGTACTATCTACTTGCTGATGTCCAAAGCTTCAATGTTGGATTCGTTTTACAGAAAATGAACCGGATGGCTTTTCCCTCATCTAATTTCACACGGTTGGCCCAAATGAGATGCAAAAATAAGTTTTCCTTAAGTGAAACAAAGAAAAAATGAAGTTTGCCTGACAGCAGTGAAGTGTGCATATACTGATGAACAGAAATAACACTCTAAGAAAGCAACCTAATTTATGACTTGGAAGAAAAACAAAACCATGACATTTTAATATCTAGACTGCGTGTCGAAATTGTTTTCCATTAGTCCAATTAAGAGGTTAAAGTATAAAAACATATAACCATGGAATTGACTGCCTCTGTAACTTCATATAAACATAAATGAGTTTTCGTACAGCTCATATAAACGTGATATTTAATGTAGTCATCAATGTAGCAAGGATGTGTTTGAAAATGAGTATGCAAAGCAGTCAAAACAAAAAAGCTATAATAAAGCACACTGAAGGTAGCTTTCCCTTGCACAAAAGTTCTTGTCAACAGGCAATGAGTATGGAAATAGCAAAAAAATCTGCCAGAGCTTCTGCTTCATATAAGCATGTATCAGACTGCACTGTAGTGAACCCGTGACTTTTCATGAATACCCTGAGCTGAACTTAGCAAAAGTAACTGCCAATGCACTCTAAAAAGAAATGTATACACCAACTTCCCCATCTGTTTGTTCTGTTTCATCTTACAGCACCTGAAGTGCACATCTGGCCATAGGGCACTGCAACCCAAAGACAGGTCAGTGTAGGAGCCAGCAACTGTCCACTCCAGCTCAAGTTCCCGATCCTATTTAACTCCACAGCTCTGAAAGAAAGCAATCATGCCATCCCTTTGAATTTTTAGATGTTGAAGGGTCAAGATTTAAAGCAGTAAGGCAAGGCCCATCTCACTTAATTCAATTATTTTAAGTATTTTGTAGAAAATATCCCTATTCTTAATATAAAATTACTCCCTTCCCTTATCTTCTGTATTCTCACTGTGTTCCTTTAAGAGTCAGGAGTTTTTCAGTCCAACACTTACTCACTCTGCTCAGTTCTTCATGTGAACAATGAAATACTGAAATGGAAGCGAGGCAAATGAGAATAGAAGTGCCATAGACAAAATTAATATAAATTTAGGAGGAGTCATTACATGTGCATATTGTGGGATGCCACAGGTTCAGGCAAACATTTATTTCACTTTGATGACTATCTGAATCTTCTACAAGGATGTTTTCTACTTCTGAAAGGTTTTTGAGGGGCAAGGTTGTTGTTTTTATGTTTTAAGAGAAAAGATCATAAAAGATACCCTAGAATTTCTAACAAACAACAAAGCACGAATTTTTCACAAAGAGCCTAACTTAAACATTCATGTTGAAGACAAAGTTGTAGTTACTGCTTATTTTGAAAGGACAAGTAGCGGTGGTTTAAAGTGTTGCACTTAGGATTTTACAGTTTATGGGTAAAACAAATAGTTTTTTTTTAAAAAATGATTAGCACCAACTTCTTTACTTCCCTTAGTGGGAGTCACAGATGGTCAGTACTGATGAAAACAAGACCCCCTTATTTAAGTATCACCCATCAAGCACCATCTTTTGACATTTCCTTTGAATGTCTTCTGTTCATCTCGTCCCAAAAGCCTTTGACAAACCAAAAGCAAATGAAAACAGTCCCTCTATCTCCATCTACAATAACCTACAGATACTACACTAACCTAGCTATATGGCAGATGATTCTCTAACCCGTACTTAGAAAAGAAGTGACATGCCTTCAAAATGCTTTGGTTGAAGTAAAATGCTGCAGATATTCAATTCTCCACTTCCTACCTAATACGGTTCAAAGTTTCTGTCCAAAAATGTAACGCTTTCTGTGGGATTTGTGGTAGCTTCCTGCCTCTCCACGACTCCCCTCAACTTCACTCCTATAAAATAATGAACCTGTTGACCCAGAAAAAGATGTGAGAGAAAGAATTGTGTTAAGATCTGGCCCCAGTGTACAAAACTCAGCTACCCCCCCCAAAAGGTTTCCACAAATCTCAGAAGCAAATACAAAGCCTCTTTATATGACTTGGCTTTGAGTAATTTCTTTATAGATGAGTACATATTCACTCACTGACACAAGTCAAACTGAAACAAAAATAAACCTCTTCAAACTAATCAGACCCTTTCTTCTAAAAGATGGAAAAAACAATCACTGTAATTTCTAGTTTTGAATTCTTTTGAGGTGCTCAGATACATCAGTGGCACTGATACAAGAAGTGTGGTAAGTGTATAATACTTCTCACTGGCCAAGTCCTGATTTGGCTAATACAGTTTTCACTTTGTGCCTCAAACCGCTGTTCTGCAGCTGCAATAAGTTACTCTGAGCCTGGTTACATGTTAGTAGGTGGTGAAGAGCTCATGCACTGCCCAGAGCGCAGGGCTCAAAGGACCCCCTCAGTCACTGCATCCAGCCCCCACACTTGCAGACTGCTCATTCATCCCTTGCAAAAGCTACCTCCATCTGCAAAGGGAAGTGTTTCCCTGTCTCCGGTACTCTCGTTGGGAGCCCATTAGATCCCAGTTACCAAGAGCTTTCAAATCCTACCAGGTAGAAGGAGCAGAAGCTCTTTATTCAATCTTTTCAATATTCTACATTTACGTCCTTGTCAAACTGAATGAATGGCAGCTAAAATCTGACAAAACCAAGCAATTCTTAAGTCAAACTCCAAGATCAGATGTAGCAAGTAATGACAATGCACACTCATCATCACTTCACTATGAGAGTTACCTGCCACATCCCAAACGGTAACATTTAATCAGGCCAGTATAAAATACATTAATGCAGTCTGACTTCTAGTGCCAAAGGCTTCACAGATTTAGTTGCTAACACTAGCTAGCAAGACAAAAAAGGCTGACAACTGGGAGTTTTACTGATTTTTTTTTTCGCAGCTTCGTTACCGTATCTGTACAACAAATGCAACATGACATCTCATCTGTAACGTACCGCTAATTGTTTAAATACATTTTCAGAAATATCCAAGTAACCATGAAATAGTAAAACACCAGAACCAAAATTCAAAGATTAACCTCTCATACCCTACAACAATTTAAGGATTATCTTCAGAACGAAAAATACTTCCAGAAATGAAACTAATGAGAGCAAAACCTTTACAAATAAAAAGTGTAGAAAATTTTTGAATAGTCTTACTTGTAGTTTTTCTCCCAGAACTTGATCGGTCTTGCGTATGATGCGATAAAGATGACACTACCAAGAAATGGACTCAGTGGTGTAGAAAAGACTGAAGTGGCCAGAGTTTGGAAAAAAAGCATGGCGGAGTCTGAAAATTGCAAGTTAAGGTAACACAAATGATTTCCTCATACTTTTAAAGCACTGTTGAGGCAGCTCTTTGAACTATTTATTTTTGCCTTTTTGTTGTTATTTATTTTACCAAAGAGGTGGTAAGGAAAGGAAAGGAAGGCAGGCAGAGCCAAATTGCCAATTACCAGCATGTACTTGGTGGCTCTTCAGTGCTACACAGTTGTAATGGAAGCGACATGTCTGAACGGAGTACGTCATTAGCAGGGCGACCCTGTCTAATCTCTTCCTGAGGACAGATCCTGAGCATAGGCAGAGCAGTAAGTGCCCTTTTCCGGCTACCTTAGTGTACCTTCTGTAAAACAAAATGCCTTTCCAGAGTCTGACACACAGTTTAATACAAAAATCCCCAAAAACGCATTTTCTTGGAAATTCTCGGTTTCTGCACTGGAGTCTTGCTCCCAATGTGTCCAGTATTTCATTCCGTGAGTTTCTGCTTATTTTGGAATGACCTAGTATGTGGAGAAACAACTATGCCTCTATTAATCCAACCTGCTGGCTTAAAATCATGCTTTCATGTTAATTTTTACTGACAATTTAATATTCCACGCTGACTGAAAGGTAAAAAATGTTCAGCATTTCATACTTTTTGAAATATATACAAAATGAGAAGGTAAGGACAGGGGAATAGCAAATATCATAAACATCATAATGAATGCCTGAATCCATAGCTTACTTTAAATGTAAATTCATATTCCAGATTGCTGGAAAGCAAGTTAGGGGATGGGCAAGGATACTGAAAAACATGTGAGTTGAAAGGAACATGATTAAAAAACCCAAGCAAATTACATGTTAGGCTTTAATTCTTCATTAATTCATACCACGTCCATGAAATCTCAGGAAAAAAGTTTCCAAGTTGGCATAAGAGAATAGTTGTCCTTCCTTACACCACTCTTGGGAGGAAGGTGCTAAATAAAGAAATCATGGACTAAGGAGCGACTATCAAAGTACAACACTCAAGTGCATCTCAAATTAAAATTCAGGTCAAATCATCCAATAACCACAGTCTTTTAGCTTACCCTCTTATAATAATATCCTTTATGTGTGTCCCACAGACACTAAGACTTCACAAAAAAACGTTTTAACACATGTAGTATCATTCCTGGTACAGAATTTCCATAAAAAGGCTAGCTAGCCATGCTTTCAAAGCAATCTGCAAAAATCTAAATCCAAATATTTGCCAAAAGATATCTCTCAAATCCCTCGAACTTATTAAAAGAGAGTGGTCTGGAACAGTGTCTTTGTGCATTATTGGGCTTGCAAAATGAGCTGCCCTCAAGAGCCTAAAGTTCAAAAAGCAACAGAGAGGACAGAGCAGGAAGCAAGTGCATCAAAAAAGTTAAACTGTCACATTACACTGTAGTCGTAACCAGCACTGGCTGTGAAAGATGAACAAGTATTTACAAGTGTCAGATAAGGGAAGGAGGCATTGGAGCTGAAGAGACAAAAAGAGAACAAGGAGGACAGATAAGGACAGCAAATCAAGTTTTCTAAAGAGAGTTCTAATGTCATGATTGATTTAAAAATTGCCACTATCATGAGTTAAGACATTTAGCACTCCATTGTGAATTGTCTGTATCTAAGACATAATCAGTAGCAACAGTTTTATTTTTGCTAAAAGACATAATGCTCTACTATATGTACTTTGGAAGACATTTCCCATTTGACTTGTGAAGAGTGATTTTAATAGTGTTTCATATATGTAAGCATGTCATGAGAGCAAGTAACAGCACCCAATTCTCTTACATACACAGTTGATGTGTACAGTGGGCAGTTATCTGTCATCAGGGTTTTTTTATTTGACGTTACCTGATTTCCTTTTATTAGATCTTTTTTTTTATACCAATGCTTTAATTATGTTTAAGTAGAAAATAAAAAAGGAGTGCCAAAAACTAACAGGCATGCTTTCTTATTCTACGCCCCAACCAGTTTTGCTGTGTAAGGTTATACAGTGTAGAAGCAGAATTTGTTTCTTTGTGAATAACGGATTTTCTTTTTAATATGGCCAAAATCAAATTTTGAGAAGAAGAAATAACTAAAAGCCCTTCAACATGAAATAAAACAAATAAAACATTCTATTTTGAGGATTAATTCTCGTAATTAAAAAATCTGTTTAAATTCCAATCAGTTTCAAAACAAGTAATTGAAAGACTGACATTTTCAAAGTCTTCCATCCCCTTCTTTTAACACAAAACTATGCAGTAAGGCCAGTGCAAATCCTCTGTTTCCCAAAACCCACATTTCTAATTGCAATTTCTGTTGCCCAAAAAACATTTCATCACTTCCAAGCACAGGATCACTTAGAAGATGGGAGAACTGAGCATCACAGGGCTTCCTTTTCTGATGTTAGAGCTGTAACCCTGAAACAAACAAATCAGAAACTCTCATAAACAGGATAATCTGAACTACAAATCCTTTCTTTCCAAACCTCACCATTGATTATTATGCAAAATCCTCCCTTGACTACAAACTACATCAACTTTCTCAGTGCACTGATAATTATAAACACATAACCTTTTCTCACTCATTTAAGCACTGGGAAGTGAAGCTCTCTCCTCAAGCCAGAAGCCTGTTCCCGTTCCTCGGCTTTTGGGATTAGGAGGTACTTCGAGGGGTCACCTAGTCCATCTAGCAGCGACAAGGAAGGATCAGTTAAACCTATATGACTCCTGACAGATGTTTGCCTAAGTTCCTGAAGATCTCTAATGGCGAAGGCTCCACAACCTCCATCAGGTAAAGCTCCACGCGTGCTGCCCTTCGTGCTCTGCGCACTGGAATCAAATGCATTAAAGCATGCAGAACTTCTCACATCGCTGAGCCCTATGGCAAAAGCTTACAGAGGCATTTTGAAATTTAAAAATTTATGTCCCATTTGCAGGAGCGATTTAGGCAATTAAGAACCACAAATAATTAAACTCTGCAAAGAAGTGGCAGGCTTTGTGCCTCTGCAAACTGCAGCATGCATTCATCAGTACTGTTTGCAGGGTTATGGTAACAACAAATAAAAATACCATGCAAAAAGTCAAAGTTATTGTTGCTGTGGAAATAGTAACTTGGGCCTTTAACCAGTACCTTAATTGCAACATTGCCTTAAAGACAGATTTGCATTTACAAAGGATATTATAAATATAAATAATAGAAAACTAGTCTAGATCACTTTAGTAATAACTGTGTAAATAAACTAAATCCTGCTTAGTTAACTGCTTTCCATTTTGCAAAGCTTAACTGGTACTTTTACCAAGAGTAAAGTTATCACTGCACAAAATATTGATGACCAAAGGGAAACTTGTTGAAATATCATGTCAGTTCTTAAATGTTTTACTAAATAACCTTATATACACTTCTCCTGCAATTCATACCTACAACAGAGATGAAAATAATTTTTTGTTGTGGAACGAATTCTGTCATAATTTGCTACAAATCACTCAAAGTGCTCAGACAGATCACTATTTTAATAACGCTTTCCTTTCGTAAATAGACAGTCTAAAGCTTTCCCTCAGGGAGTTATTCTGTCTGCAATTCCCTCTGTCCAAGGCTCTCATTTATACTTCCTATCTAGAAACATAAGCATAGGTAATCAATGCTGCATATGATTCAATATATCACAGCAAAGAGCAGAGGGAAAAAAATCACTCAAGGGACGGAAAAAACACTGTGGGATGAAAGGGACAAAGACTTAAGTGCGTATATCTAATAAACAGTACAAAGTAAACTCTTCAGTAGGTCTGAACTAAAACTATTTTCTCAACTCTTCTTCCACAACTTGGGTTGGGAGGGAAGGAAGAAATGAAAAGTTAGTCTCTGAAAATTCTTTAGATGTCAATAAAGTTAAATTTGTTCAGTTGAAGTGTTTTATTTCATTTTTTATCTTTTTCCTGTATTAAATCAAGTTTCTAACTGAATTAGACTTTAAGCTGCAGATTTTTTGTTCCAAAAATCCAAATATATTTTTTAACCCTACAGACATTTGGGGGGGTCATTGAACTCTGTGTTTTACTCTCCATATCCACAAAACCAATGTTTGCAGCCCTGGAACAGGCACTGAAACAGACTGTTTCTGAAGGACTGCTTTGGTGTTGACGAACATATGTTGTTACTCATAAAACAGAGTGGAAATGTTAAAAAGGAGAATGCTTCTCAACACCATAATGAAAAATGTACATTAAAATGTTAAAATCCAGCTGCTTCTGAAATGGCGAAAAAAAAAATCAGGACAGTTGCAACAGAAATTGGCTCACTGAAATGAATTTGTATCTGAGATCCCAACTAGAAGCAACTGAGAAAGTAACTAATATTTTAGAACTCAGTCAGCCATATGCCCAGCACTTCACAAAACTAGCTTCCGCATACATACAAGTCCACCCAAGTTGGAGCTAATATGTCAGTCACAACGTTTCTTTCTGGATGCATCAAAAGCCAGTTCTGAGGACTGTGGAAGTAAGTGATCTGCAGAATGTGGCTCAGTGGGAAGTGAGCAGGCATAAACAGATCAGTTTGAGTCAGAGTTCAGTTTCCCAGTTTCAGATCCTATGCAGCCAGGAAAGAAAGAAAACTGTATTTCTCAGGAGATGCTCTAAGCATTTTCACATTTTAAAATAAGTTACCTAGGAATTTCACACCTTGTTCAAACACTGTAAATAAATTACATACACGAAGAGGAATTTAAGAATAAAGAAAAACAGTTTTATAAAGGATATGAGGTATTGCAAAGAGCTGAGCAAAAACATGGAACGATGATCCCCAGGCAATCTGCCAGGGAGCAATGTATGTCATGATGAACTGCAACTTCTGCAGTAGGTCCCACAGCTGAAAAAAAAAAAAAAAGAAAAACATGGTAACTTTTTAGGCACTGGCATAGTTTCAGTATTAATATCTGAAAGTGGCACTTTTTAGAACTGTGCCCTGGAATCAATGTGAGATAAACTATATTGTATTATTAGCTTTCATGGGCATTAAGGCCTTACTTTAGTACGGCACAAAAGTACATTCTTCATTTGAAATTCAAACTTGCAATGAGGTACGTTTTTAACCAGCATGCTGAGGTAGCTCCCAGACTACCTTTCTTCAAAAGTATGTCTGCTTTAATTAGAAAGTGGGAAAACAGGTTCTGATATTCGCTGCATATATCACACTGCCAGTGATAGGTGAGTGACAGGAGAAGAGACTCCGGGAGAAAGTGGATATAGCGAACAGAGGAAGCTCAATGTGCAACACGTCTGGCTCTGCACATGGAAATCAGACCTATTTCTCAAGAACACAACATTTTCATTTGATGAATCAATGAGAGAAGCCATCACTATGTAAGCATATGCTTGGCATTAACCATGAATTCTAGCCGCATTTTCAAGATCAAACCATTCTACCATAAAAACATTGCATTAATATGAATTTTTATTGTTGTGCAGTACAAATTGAAAAACACACTGAATTTACTTTTACTTCCTGTAAAATATGCTTGGTGCTGCAACTAGCAGTTCCTGATTCAAGAATGATGTGTACTTATCCCCTAGAATACATTTTTTTTCTGCCAGCTCTCTTGGCATCAGGCCAAAACAGATCTTCGGACTCATCTGCATTGGGCCATCAGATTCATATTGCAGTGTAGGTTCCTGACAAACTGTCAGGAAAGATTTGGCCATCAATAGACATTAGCGCTCAACACACACACAAGTTGACAGTGAAACGGGAGTATATGCAATATTTCATGTTGATATAGCAAATATATGTTGAATTTCCTATAGTAAATTTTTTAATTGAGTTAATGAAAAACAAGACATTGCCAACATCCTGAAAGACACTGAGGCTATATCAATACTTGTGTATGAAATGCTTCCAGGGAATGTTCCCAGGCACTGATATTGTATATGTTGTTAAATTGTTAGAAAGGCCCCTGGAAAGGTTTTGGTCTGGCCCAGATAGCACTCTTCCAAGCAATCCCCAAGCATCCTTTCAAATGAAAACTCTCCGTGGTCCATTTCCAGATGGCAGTTCCATACTTCCGCCCTGCGTACAGACTGGGAGAGTTTATTAGCATGGACACAAGCTTCCCCATGACAGCTGGGGACAGAGGGACAGAGTATGGTCCTAGGCACTCTTCATTTACTAGTATGTTGATGGTCAGACAGGATGCACCTTCACTGGCTAACTCATTTCATCTGTCCTTAAGTTGCCCCCCCCCCAAAGTAACACTTGGCCATCTGTATCCACATCAGCAATGCACTTACAAGATGTTTCATGAGATTCTCTATGAATTGTTGTAAATAATTGCAAATTAATTGGGAGGGAGGTAAGAATGACTGATAGCATTAATGTGTTTTGGTCTTTGTGCTACCAAACGACCGCAGAAACAGCTGCTGTTCATGCTAACTCCAGTTATAACTGATAAACCTTCCAGTTGAGATGCAAGCAATGCTTCACGTGGTTTCTGTGCTTTGGCACGACTCAAATTAGGAGCAACATGCAAAATACAGATTACGTTAACTTTGCACAGGCATACTATTTAAAACCAGCAAAGCCTTGATAAAAACAACCTGTTACGATCTCTTCAAGGCACACCCTGGTTACCCCTACCTAGTTTAAGTAAGAGAAATTCAGATCTTGTCAACTTTGTTTTCTCTCAAAAATACTACATGTGACTTGAAAACTACAACATTAGATAAAGTAGGCAGGTAAAACTGAACTGAAACTAGAACTGACTTTTATTTCTTTGAACCCTGTTTAGCAGGCTGTGGGATTGCTTTGTTTTGCTTAATTTTTATTTATCTGAAATGTCTGAATGAACAGCTGGGAGGAAAATTGTATCTGCTAAAAGATTTAAGTGAAGGGCTGAAAAAGCTAATGGCTCACATCTGAAACCTCAAAAATTCAAAACTGCAGCGAAGTTCTGCCTGTTACAGTTGAAATCACAAAGCCATAAATCACCCCAGCTGTGCTCAAAGCTCAGGGTTCATCAAAAGGTTTTCAAACCTCAAATAAAATTCAGGTTTTGCATTTACTAGGAAACCAAATCCAGGAGGAGACCCTCCTGGCTTCTTGTTCCATTACATCGTTTTAATCATTATTTAATATTTACATATTCTTGCAAAACAGGCCGTGGAGCCCAAGTTCTCTGTTGCTTCTAACAAGTCCTACTACTTCTACATTCACCACTGCTTGAACTAGCTGTTGTTTCTTTCAACACTTGCCTCTCGGCTAATGTTTTTACAAGACAGGCAGTGGAGCTCATTTCCGTTTGCAAGAACATGAATGTAAGAAGAAGAAGAGTGCTCTAGTGAGAGCCTTATGACACTGCACCTAAAGGCCTGGAAATGTGTGATTTTCAAGCTACTGCTTTCATTAAGAGTTGTCAAGTACCTCTATTACCTCTTAAATTACTGCTTCCAGGGCACATTCTGCAAAACACCTTAAGGGTAACGTGCCATTAGCATTTTTACATATCTAACTATCCTTGTTAAAGGTGATGTCACCTAGCAACTACAATATAGAGATTTAGGAAGGGGGGACTTGGCTTTACATTTTCTCTTTTTTGTTTTGCTAGAAACATCTGAAAAAATATTGCTCCTTATCAGTTTTACCTAATTTACTACATACTTTCTCTTATATCTGACATAGGGGACCTGGTGACAAAGGACATGGAGAAGGTCAAGGTACTCAATGCCTTCTTTGCCTTGGTCTTTACTAGTAAGACTTCAGGAATCACAGGCCTCTGAGACCTGTGGGAAAGTATGGAGAAATGAAGACACCCTAAGTAGTGAGGGATTAATTAAGGGTATATTTAAACAAACTAGACAAAAACACTTCCATGGGACCTGATGGGACACCTCAGCCCTTCTGTGATTCCGTGAAATACGCAATTTATCCTCAGTAAAATTTTGTTTGAATAAGGGTAATAACCTGCTCCTGAGGGTGTGAGGTATATTTTTTAACAATGCTAGATACAAAGGGGGAACCTTCCCATCTAAAGTGAAAGTATAAAAAAAAAAAAAAATCCCAGTTTAGGATGATTTATAAAAGAACATTTTTATTAAGCCTTCTTAGATCTTCAATGTTTTCTACAGTTCGCTAAGCAGAAAAATGATGTATTATTTAGGGGACGAAGTTCTAATATTCCTAGATATTGTTACTCGTGACAGTTTTGCACAGTAAACAGTTTTTAAGTCTTTATCAAAAGAGCTTAAATTATCAGTATTCGTCAGTGAATTTAAACCAGCACATTCCCACAACTGTCAGGTGAAAGTGCAGAACTTGCATCTTTCATATTTATTTTATATGGACACACACATTTTATCATCCTAATCATCCTTAAGTCCTCTATGAGTTCTGAAGCCTCTACAGACCTCTGGCAGATAAGCTAGTATTCTATATATATATAAACAAAGCAAAGGCAAAGACTTACCTTTTCAGGATTTCTTTTAAATCTGGTTATTCTTACTTAACCAAATTTAAGTAACATTACAAACTAGAAGTTAATGGAAATTAGTTAACATACAGGAAAAAAAAATATTTTGGGAGTCTGAAACATCATTAAAATGTGATCTCCTTTTCTCACTTTGATAGATTTCAATAAACTAGGCAGAGATTAACACCCGAGTTTAAATGACACTGAATGTGAGATGGAGACTATGCAATGCTTTCAGCTTTTGGCAGCCTTTCTATCTGTTTAGCATCTGTTGGGATTCTGTGCAGGCAGACTCCTTGGCAATACTGGGACTAAATAATGCATAAACATTAACATTTTCTTGCTAAGCTTGAATTTTGCTGCGTTTTAAAAAAGTGTATGTACAAATTGGTTTTAAACAAAAATAACTGTCATATACATATGGCTATATGCTCTACGTGCAACACAAAATTGAGAGATTAAAAAAGTTAAATGCAGAAAGCAATTATTTCCTGCTTTGAACAGCTATTTCTTTATATTCCTGTTTAGATCCTAAGAACTTGAGACAAATTTGAACTCGGGCTCTTAGATGCTAGGTGGGTATTTAGTTTTTCATGTTAAGCTAATCCTGGTCAATTGGTAGCTCCAAGTCTTAGAAGTAAATTCTAATCCCTACTGGTAATTTTTTTTTTTTTTTGTATGTCAATAAAAATTAAGATACATTAAGAGGGAAAAGTTGTGAGTATGTATGTGTTTATGGATATGAAATTAAACTTACGTGGAATAATTTTGTTCTAGTTCATGCCTTTGCTTTGCAAATCACTGAGTTACTTTCTGTTTTTTATTTAATGCCATTTAAAACAAACTTCAGCTATGAAATCCTACAAAACAAGATTTACTGGAAATATTAAAGCTTTTTAATGCTTATGTCTTAAGTCATTGTGACATTCTGTTAGTGTATTTGAACAGCACTATGTTTGAATCTACAACAAATACTTTCCAGGCTGTCTTTATTTGCATCTGCTTACAGACATTTGAAGCCTTTATATTGTGGGATTTCAAGATCATTGTCTAATGCAACATATATAAGAGGATCAAAATACAATCAGTCCAAGGCTCTGATATCAAACCTCGGAGGAATACACTCCTGAAACACAGTGTTCAGCACTTAACATCGACAGTGTACAAAACAGGCATGTTTTAAACAGTTCGAGTAACAACCCTTGGAAGCCTTACATTTGAAGTTAAATGTTAACCATCAGGCAGAAGTAAGTATGATGAGGATTATGACAATAAGATGATGATAAAACCTAACAGCCCTGGATCTGCTCATGGCAGAGGCTGCTTCTTCCAACACTGTTAGCTGACAGCAAAAGCCCAGGGAAGGAGCCTGTGGCACTGTAAGAAACCATATCTCCCGAGGTGGGCA